CCCAGATGATGGCTCATAATGGTCCTTACTCCAGTTCCAGGGAATCTAACGCCCTCTTCTGGCATCTGCAGGTACTGCATGCACATAGTACACACGTGTGTACACACACACACACACACACACACACACACACAATCTTTTAAAAACCACTCAGGAAGACAGCACCTCTCAAAGGCAGAGTTTGCTAGGCTTCAATGTGTCTTAGGCACTGACCCCAGGTACCTTCCCTGACCTTTGCCCAGGTGTCCTCATAAGCATATGGGCCGGGGTCAAGCATTTGAGAGGAGGAGTTGGAGGGAGGGAGAGGCTGGGGTCATTCCTAGCTACATGGTGAGTTGCAGGCAAAGCTGGGCTACATGAGGACCAGAGAGGGAAGAAAGAGAGAGGGAGAGAGAGGAGAAACAGCAAATAATTCGTGGGCTGCCTTCCTTTTCAGGCACAGACCCCAGCGCTGGGGAAGTGCCATCAACAGGGCAATGCATGTTGTTTGCACGGCATCTTTTCCCTCCTCCTTCCTAAAACAGGACTCTCAACTCTGTCCTGAGAAGACCAGTTGGCTGCCCGTCCAGCAAGTGGGCCATAGGGGGCGGGCACCAAGCACAACAGTGCAATCCGTGCAGCCCAGAACACCACGTGATCTGGTGGTAGCTGATGAGAACCCTTGCAGGGATTACAAGAAAAGTTTCCCCGAGACTAGAAAAAGAAGCAGAGGCGTCTTCTGTGTCTTCCTTCTGCCCTGACTCAGATGCAACACGCGGAGCCACAGCAGCTGGTCTATGGTGATGTGGCAATAAACTGACAAATCAGATGGCGGTGTGGTAAGAATAAAGATTAGGCTTGCGATAGGCGCGGATCTGATCCACTGCCCTAGCCCTTGACCCTGTTTCAGCACTCACTGTAGTATGAGTAGAATCGACCCCATCTACTGAAGGGTCTGTCAAGTAGGTCTCGGCCTGTTGGTCAAGCATGCTGGAATAATAACTATGATTAAGAACTGAAAGACAGGCCAGGAAACTCTGCAGCCATCAAGGTTTATGTAAGATAGACTGAAGGTAGAGACTGTCCTTTTGTTTCCTGGCTGCCCAGACCCAAATAATCACACAGAAACTATATTAATTATGGCACTGTTTGGCCAATAACTCAGGCATATTCCTGCCTAGCTCTTACATCTTCAATTAACCCATTTCTAGTAATCTGTGTATCACCATGAGAGTATGATCTACCGAAGGTTCCGGCGTCTTTCTCCTTCAGCAGCCACATGGTGTCCCCTCGATTCTGCCTACTCTCTCTCTATATATATCTAGGTTCTAATTTCCCACCTGGCATTGTTCTGCCAAACCATTGGCCAAAACAGTTTTATTTATTAGCCAATAAAAGCAACACATATACAGAAGGACATCCCACATCAAGAGACGGTTGACAAGGAGCAAGTGTGGCAGGTACACAGTTTGCTCCAGGCTGAGATGGAAACTGGGAGGAAATCTTCAAATGCGGCACTAACAGCAAAGCCCTTCTTTCTAACTTCTATGAACTCAGCACAGCCCCCCTCCTCCCGCTCAGATGACCAACCGATCCCAGTTCTCCTGCTACACAGCAAACAGGGGCTCTTCCAAGTCACTTTTCTCCAAGATTGTGGTGGAGACCCAATCCACACATCCTTTATTCTCCTGAGACACTGAAACTCCCCCCATGCGCGGGGTTCTCCACTGTGAGACTGGGCAGGGTGGACCCAGAGTCTGCCCTTCTTGTGGGGGGACAACACGGGGCATCACACCGGCCTACAGCTTCCTTGGGCAGGTTGGCCATTAATACACGGAGCAGAGAAAGAGACACTAACTTAAGTGCTTGCCCCAGCCTAAAGCAGGGCCTGGAGCAGGCTGCTTGAGAGCCCTCGGAACCGACTGTCATATTTAGATATTAGCATGCACCAGTGATCATAAGCAAATCATTCTAAGAAAACAGAGCCATGGCCGCACTGCGGGGACACTCAATGTTCGCCAGCAGAGGCATCAGGGAAATGCAAGGCCAAGCAGACCTGGAACAGTGGGGGCCCAAGGAGCACTCTGCTTTTGGTCCGTGGTTGTTCTGCATCTCCAAAGGGTTGCTATACATGGGACTTGTTACCCTGTTGGGGGAAACTATTTTAAGCCTAATTAGCAGGATTTTTTTTAGAATGCAAATGCTTTTCATTTAGACATAAAACAAAATGCCACGACATTTCCTCCACCCATTTATCACAAACAAGTTAATTACTGTGTAACAAATCTCCCCTGCTGGAATACGGAGGTCCAGGACTGCCGGTGAGCTGACTCAGGTTTCGAGAGGAAGCCACGGGGCGGCCGGTAATAGCTCATGGCATGCTCACCGTAAAACCACGACTGGGAAGCTCTGCTTGTCAAATTAAGTAAGGTTAAGCTCTCTCCCTCGGAATAACTCAATTATCAGCAGTCATTATCTGTTTAGCACGGCACCTACCAGAAGCTCCAAGCTCTGAGCCTGACAGTCACCCTCACTGTGTTCTCAGAGTGGCAAAGTTTTCTGCACACCCAGCCACGGCTGCCTGTCCTAGTTGGAGTGCATTGCTGGCCTCGGTTTTCACCTCTGTGTGTGCAAAATGATTTCTAAGATGTAAAAACATCTTTGCTCATGACAGCTCGCACCTCAAGCTCAAGGGGAAGAAGAAAGGGAGAGAGCAGAAGGTGCGGGGGAAGGAGAAATGATGTGGCTGTAGTCCATCCTCCGGGAGGAGCAAAGGAGCACAGACCCCAGACTTCTTCCCTGAGCTAGGTCTGAGCTGTAGGAAGTTCACCCAGGATGCACTAGGCGAACCCAGGCCATTACCCCCGTACCTAAGAGGACCAGAGCACAGAGTAGGGCCTAGCTATGCGCACAGTCATGACGGCAGTGAGAAGCATGGTGAAAATATGGAGATTTCTTTCCTGTTGTAGACACTCCTTGTTACCAAATAGCATTTTTCTCTCAACTCTAGGCCACTGGGTATGGCAAGATCTCCTTGTGTTTCTTAGGAGCCCCGGGAGGCCTCAGGCCTCAATGTCAGCCTGGTGGAGTCCAGTGTAGTGATATTTCATTGGTATTTTAATACATAAAGCTTGCCTGAAGATCAGAACTCAAAACAACCATACTAGTCGGTCATACAGGCCGGGCAGTGGTAGCACACACCTTTAATCCCAGCAGCCACACTAGTTAGCCATAGAGGCCGGGTGGTGGTGGTGCACGCCTTTAGTCCCAGCACTAGAGAGTGTAAGATGGAAGGAGATGGGAACTTGCTCTCTTTTCAGTCTGAAGATTTCATGGAGGTAAGAGCTCTCTAGTGGCTTGCCTGCTTTGCTTTTCTGATCTTCAGGTTGAACCCCAATATCTGTCTCTGGGTTTTTATCACTCATGCTACAGTCTAGAATGCAGCCATGGTAGGGATGAGCTATGCTGGATGTGGGAAAAGGACCCGCCCTGTAGGGGAAGCCCAGCCAATCATCTTGCTCGTAGGGCGGGGTCCCCTGAGGATATTATTTACTTATTAATATTGCGGGTGTGCTCCCTGCCTTCCCTTCTGTTTTCCTGTTCTCCCTGGAACCTCGGTCTTGTAAGTCCTTCCTTTATTAAAGCTGAATATTTTATTATAATTTCTGTCTGCCGTTCATTTACGCTGTAACATCACCCCATCAAACTCCGAATCAAACAACTCACAGAGTTCTTGGAATGTCCTGAACACAGTTTCTCATTGCAGGCATCCATTCCAGTCCTCAGCCTGCTTCTGAAGGGGTTTCTTCCCTCCTCCTCCATCCCTCCGTCCCTCCCTCTCTCCTTCTTTCCCTCCCTCCCTTCTTTCTTATGATCAGCAACAGTCAGTGGCTTTGGCTTCACAATTTGTAAAATGAAAAACATCAGAAAAGTTGAATGCTCGTAATTTGTAAGGAATAAAGTGTGCCTGACTCCTGCTGGAAGGGGCCACGTCCAGCAGGTGGGAGCAACCTTCTGACACTGTGATGGGGTAATGGGATGGCACTGTCACCTGCGAGGTTCACACCTGAGGACCACACAACTCCTCCTCCACAAAGGAAAAAAAAAACCTGGCAGTTCTAAGTCTAGGATTTTATGTCCAAGTGAACTTACAGCTGCTTTTGAGTACATACAGACATGCCTAGAACAGCACTCTGTGCAGGTGGGGGCTTCCACACACCTGTGCACACCTGTTCATAGACAGCTGTTCTATTTCCTACAACACAAACACACCAGGAGAAATAAAAAACCTTAAGACTTCAGAGCCAACATGGAAATTAGGTTTTGACACCCTTTCTGAAAGCCCACTTTCCTTGTCTCTCTGATGTCAGGTCAAACTTCCAGGAGACTGGGTCCAAGAGCCAAGGCTCCAAGACCAAAACCTCAGAGTCCAGACTCTTACCTCCCACTCTGTGCAAACAGAAAGTTTAGTTTGTCTGGAAATGGGAAACAGATTTGCAAAGAGCTTTCCAGCCATCTCCCTCTGCCCCTTGCACACCTCAGTTCCAGAAGCTTGCTGATGCCCCTCCCTGCAGTGTGTGTTTTCCTGTCGTCGGAGGGGCAGTCGTGAAAGCCACATGCCACATTTGTGAGCAGAACATCTATGGGCCTATTTACCGCACTCCCAACATCATCTGCTTTGTCACGCATTTCAAAGTGGGGATAATTTAAGAGTCTGGCATTTCATACATAAAAATACTCGGTAAGGAAGTCTCCCTGCACAGCATTGGGTGACAAGGATCCACCCGAATTCTCATTTGTTGCCCAGGACATGAGTCACCTCAGTTCAAAATGACAGGCAGGCTTCCAGATCATTCACCACTTGCAAGGAGCCTCTCAATTGGCCCACTGGAACCTCGTTGATCTCACAACCATCTCTTTGCAAAAGAGCAGGACTCCAATGCAAGCCAAGCCTGGCATTTCATACCCCCCTCCCCGCACGACAGACAGACAGACAGACAGACAGATACACCCTCTTCTACCTCTGAGTAGTTTCTCTCCTTCCAGGACATTCGGGGAGATCAACGCAGTGTAGTCTTCTTCGGAGAAGCCCGCCTTGCAAGCCTCCCTGACTGTAAGATCCTCATGGTGGGCCTAGGAATGGAAAGGGAGGTGTAAAACCAAAATAAGTTCACAGAAATTTAATCCAGCCCACATTTGTCACGGCCACTTCACAAGCCTCTGACTGAGAAGTGCAGATAAACCACCATCTCCACCCAGAGGTGGTATTGGGATCCTCAGGTCTCTGGGGGGACTTCAGGATGTCTTGGCGCAGGCTGGAGTGATCTTCTCACACTGGACAGACAGCCGCACTGACTTCCGTGGGAACCACAGGGTCAACTGACGCCTAGAGGGACCTTTTGGGCATATGGCAGGGGGCGGGGGGGAAGGAAGAGGTGCCAGGGAGGAGAGGTGGGCGAGGAACAGCGGTTCACTCAAGCACAGGCAAAACCAAGCCGGTGGAGAGGGAGGGGAGCATCTCTCTGGGCTGCAGAGCTAGCTCTCTGCCTTTAGGCTAGGTGAGAGTGGAGGCCTCCTTCCGCTGGCCACAGGGGTGGGGTTCCAAGAAAGGGAGCTGCCAAAATGAAAGAGATTCCAGGGCTGTTACCAAGCTGAGCAAAGGGAGTGACCACTTCTGCCACCAGGCTGCAAGGTGCTCCTGTGTGTGTGTATGTGTGTGTGTGTGTGTGTGTGTGTGTGTGTGTAAGTTCACCCGCCCAATGTCGTGAACTCTTGCTCTCTCTGAAGCCCCTGTTTGCCTAGTCAGGAGAGACGGTTCCCCTAACTAACCAGAAGGGCTTGCTTTTCACTCCTCTGGAAGTCTCTCAATCTGTAGGGAGCGGAAGACAGTGGGTAGGGGGTTCCACCCAAGCTGCCAGGAACCAAAGGAGATAAAGCATGTGTCTCCACCAATCTAGTCCGCTATGAAGACGAGAAGACGCACCAGGCACCCTGTCCCTGGTGATGGAGCTTTGGGAGCCGAGGGCGGGCACACCGGCATCTTGCAGTCTCGGCTTCGCTGGCCGCCGGAGCGGAACGCAGCTCCCTGCCCGCCGAGTCCTCCAGCTGCGCGCAACGGCGCCCACCCGGGTTCGGCTAAGAGGCCACCCGCAGCCCGCAGCCTGTAGCTCGGGCTCAGAACCCGGCCCCAGAGGCTGGGAGAAGATTGGGCGGGTTATAGATCTTCCTCGGGTCAAAACTCAGAATCGCGTTCGATTTCAGGGGACTGCGGCTCTGAAATGCACTTGCAGCCCGCGGGAGGCGAAAGTCGGCGGGGAAAGTTTCTGTCTCCCCGGGGCGTGTTCCCCGCGCACAGCGCTGGTCCGGTGGCCTCGTAGCGGGCGGTCCCCGGCCCTGGTTCATTGCCGAGATTACCTCGGCGTAGCTGCGAGCAAGCCACCGGACCGATCGGCCACGAGAGGGGGTTCGGGCCACTTGGTCTCCGCCCAGGGTCGCCGCGGGAGCTGCTGCTGAGCCCTGAAGAGAGGCCCCGCAGCGAGCCTTAGCCACCTAGCCAAGCCGGCTGGGGACCGTGCAGAGACGGGGATAGCGCGGGTATCCAGCTCCGGTCCCCGGGCTTCATGTCTCGCGCTCCCGCCGCGCTCTCTTCCCGTCCCTCTCTTAAGTCGGGAGGACCCGTCAGACACTATGGCTACAGCCCCGTGCCCCGTAGTCGCCTCCGTCTCCCACCGCAGTCGCGCTTCGTGGCACCCACGGGACCCGGGTGAGCGCTCCGCGCAGCGGACCCGACCCCGGCGTGCGGCTGGAACTCGGGATGCGCTGCTGCCGGGCGATGGAGGCGAGCTCCATGTCACGGAGGGCGTCCCCGGAGCGCAGATCGGGCAGCGAGATGGCATCCCGGGTCCCGCCCGCTCCACCCCGCAGCTCCCAGCTTCGATCGCACGCGGCTTCGTGCAGCGCTGGCGGCGGGATGAGAAAGCCGGGTAGCCAAGCCAGACCCACCGGTTCCCGGACCGCCCGCGAGCAGGGAGGCGTCAACTTACCCGGAGCGCGCCCGAGAGCCCGAGTAGAAGCAGCGGCAGCACCGAGCCCGTGGTCATCGTCCCCGCTGCGCCGTGCCGCCCTGGCGCTCTCCCGGTGCCCGGCTTCCCCCACCGCGGCAACGCTCCTCCCGCGCCCGCCCTGCTTCTCCCCTCGCTCGCCGCCCGGGCTCCGGGAGCCAGGCCAAGTGGGCCGGCAGCGCGCTCCCTCCGGCCGGTGCGTCCGCGGGCCTCGCAGCCGCCCGCGCCTCTGTTCCGCGCGCTCGGAACTGCAGGTGAAGCCGCGCGGCCGCCCCGCCGAGGCCCCGCCCCTCTGGCCGGGCCTGACGCGGGCCTTAAAGGAGCCGCTCCCGCGCCCACTCGCTCAACAACCTTCGAGCCTGGTTGTTCGCTGCCCCGCTGGTCTCTGTCTCGCGGGACATCGGAGTTCCGTTTGGGCAGAAGTCGCCAAGGACACTCGGTCTCTAAGAGCAAAGACTGTGTGGACTGAAGAAGGTACTGAGGTCTCTGTCCTCAAGTTAGATGTTCTTTGTAGATTGTGGGATTTACTCGCGATCACCGGTGATCTTAGGTCAACTTCTTTCTAGAACCTACGCTGGAGAGTGGACACTTCCCTCAGCCTTACCTCTTCTAACTTCCCCCAACACAGGCCTTTGTAATGGCCTCCAGGCCACCCAGCAGCAAGTCGGAACAGAAAGGAGAAGGGAGGGGGGTCATTCTCCAGCTGAAGGGGCCTCCAACCTCTGACCCTTCAACCCAAGAGGAAACTTAGAGTGTGGGCTTGACTGTAGGTACTCAACAAGATTTGGAAGGGTCCCTCCTGATTCCTGTTTGTGCGCCAAAAGGCAGTAAGGTCTGAGGAAGCAAGAAAGAAATTCAGAGGCCCTGCAAAGGAAGGCACTCCAACAGGCAGGGTTGTCAGACCTGTCAACTTCCTGGGAAGGCCAGCTCCATTTGCTTCGCTTGGGCAGTTTCCAGCCCCCACTGTGGGTTATTTATTTATTTATTTATTTAAAGGATCATATCGCTTCCATTGAAAAATAAGGGCAGCTTGGAATGTGAGTGAAGGCTTCCCCACTCCTCCCTTGGCTGAGAGGTGAAGAGAAAAGTGGAATGCTTGCTCAGATAGTTCAGATGTTCCTTGTCTCTCTTCTGGGGGAATTTGTGTGCAGAATACAACAGTTCTGGTTTGAGAAGAGTGGGTGAAATTGCCCCAAAGTCAGAGTCACCTTGGACGGAGAGACCTTTTCTTCCTCGCCTCTCCTCCCCACCCCCAAATGGTGTTTGCTACCCTAAGCTGTTGGCTGGCCTACTGTCTAGCATTCATGACCATGGGAAAGTCGGGTTCTAGGGAGCCTTGGGTGCACAGCAGACTCTGTTCAAGGGTATGAGGCTGGGTTTGGCTGTACCACCAAGTATCAGAGCACTATCTATGCCAGGCTGGACCTGCTCCACAGCTTATGCCAGTGTTAGCCTGTGAGGGCACAAAGAGGCCAGCCTTGTAGTGTCCAGACTGCTCTGTGGCCTTTGCTGGGGAGACAAAGAAACATTCACCCCGAATAGAGAGGTACCTAGGCCAAAGAAAGACCTGAGTGCAGCCTGGTGAGTCAGTAAGCTTATTGGGGTTACTTGCAGGAACACAGTGACCTGGAGGGGACAGCTACACTGTAGACCCAGACCCAATGCAGTCAGGAAGAGATGGGAGAATTCCATTCTGTAGCCAGTGCACCTGTGCCTTAAAGACACGCCTTCCTCCTGAACACACTTCATCCTGCTAAAGTGAGCCGTATGCTGACCTTCCTCTTTTATGTGTTCTCTTGAGATGTCATCTTGGGGGCCACTCTGTGTTCTCAGTAACCTAGGTACAAAGCAACAGGCGATCACCTGTAAGAGCCCCTGATCTCTCCAGCTTATGTTCTGGGCAGACAAGAACGTCAACTTGTGACGGGGCAGGCCGGAGGAAGCAGCTGGGGCCTGAGGTTCAAATGCTGGACTTAGCACGTCTCACTCTTGCCTATGGTTAAGCATCAGAGAGCTTCAGTCCTCCAGACATGCATGTGACTTCCTGACAGAGTTCGCTCTCCTGGCATTAGCCAGTCCTGCTGTGAATCAGGAGTCGTACATGAATTTGTCTGCACCAGATGTGCAGTTGTAAAGGTTCCCACTTTACAGCCAGGCTGAAGGAAGCTTAGTGAGTTCATGGACTGGAGCTGGCTACCAGCCTTCGCAGGCAGACCTGAAGACCCCTGGCATGGGCCTTACTTATTCAAGGAGTCGGCTGAGGCATCGTGTGGGAACCCAAGTTTCCAAGAACATGGCTCAGAAGCGTTGCAGTAACCCGTATGAGTCCAGCAGAGAGCATTGCTTTGTCAGACTTGTTCGGAGTGAAGCAAAGAGGGCATGCTAAGACACAGTAAATGTGAAGCAGCTCTTCCCGGGAACCTGCCTAGTCTGTCACTTGCAGTCTGGCTGACCACACGACAAACTTGCTTAAAAATATAGGTTCTTAAACCCCTCACCCAGTACTCCCTACTGAAATCCACAGGATAACACACACACACACACACACACACACTCACACACACACACACACACACATACACCTCCCAACTGGAAAGTTATCTACTTCAGAGGCAATATGCAGCTTCCCAGTGAAAATGCAGATTCTCCAGGTTGTCTGCAACAGGCAACAACACTGCCTTCTTCCTCCCTCTCTCCCTCCATTCTTCCTTTCCTTTCTTTTTTTATTTTAAGGCCCAGGTTGGATTCAAACTGGCAGCAATCCTCCTGCCTCAGCCTCCTGAGTGTGGGGATTGCAGGGGTGAGCCAATTTGATCTTTTCCCATAAGCTCCTCTTCTCCTCTTAATGCGCATACTAAAATCTATAGTAAAAACTCTAAATACTCTTCCTTTGCTGCATACAGAGAAAGAGTGAAGATCCTGGCACCGCCAATACTGCCCAGGGAAAAGGGTCTTAGACCCTCAAACCTCTCATTTAGCAGCCACCCTCATGGACAGCAACACATGCTAACATTTGAATCAGAGACATTGCTTTTGGTGGAAGGCCCTGGACCAAAGACCTCGGGATGCTGTTTCCTTGGCCTTGGATCCATTGTCTGGTGCTCTGTGGGTAAAAGGTGGTTCTGGCTTGCCACTGCCTACCTGCTGGGTGTATGGCAAGGGCTTCAGCTTCTGCAAGTCAAATGCTCACAGATCTCTGATTTCACCTGTATTTAGCGTTTTGCTCTCCCTCCCTCCCTCCCTCCCTCCCTCTCTTTCTCTCTCTCTCTCTCTCTTTCTCTCTCTCTCTCTCCCTATGTGTGTGTACACACATGCATACACACATATGTATTTATGCAGGTGTTTGCACGTGTATAGGTGGGTGTGAGAGGGTGCATATGTGTCGAGACAGGTTGGCTCTGGTGTCTTCCCCAGTTGCCTTCCATTTTGCCGATATCTCCAGTCACAGGTGTCCTGTCTCCTCTCTCCAGTGCTGGGTGACAGATGGTTACTGCCATGGGTGTCTTTTTAAGCAGGTGCTGGGGATCCAGTCACAGGTCCTCAGCTTTTGTGGCAAGCACGCTAATGACTGAGCCATTTTCTCATCCATCCTGCATTTTACCATCATCTTTTAGGCACCTCCATGGTAAATGAAAAAGCTATCTTGTAAGGAAGGCAGAGTTAGCAACAATTGTGTTCATAAAATAAAGCCAGGTCCTTGGGGGGTGTTGTTAAGAATATTTGAGGCAGGATGGGAAGGGATGGAATCTACTTGCTACTACTGAAAACCTCTTTACACAGAGGACAGAAGACTCTTAAGGGAAGGAGCAAGAGAGAGATGGAGAGGGAGGGGGAGGGAGTGAGCATAGCATAAGTAGCTCTCTGCCTGCAAGTGTAGTATCACTTACCTGCCCGGCCAAGCTTCCCTGGGAATAAGAGAGAGGAGACATCCTTGTACTGTTTGAGCTTCATATTGCAGCCCGCTCTTTCCCCTTCGGCATCCATTGTCACTTACAGCCTGCCTAGCCTTGCTGCGTGAGCCTGGAATTGAGACCTCATGGAATTCTGGTGCCCCACATCATGCCTACCCTGGGCAGTTGTCAGATCTTCTCTCACTCATTTCCAACTTCCAGCAATCCTCCTGCCTCAACCTCTCCAGTGCTGGGATTACAGACTTGAACCACTACACCCAGTCCCATGCTGAGTTCTACAACCAGAAGCAGTGTGGTATCAAAGTCTGGTGCTTAGCAGCCAGGACCCATCCTGGTCCAGAGATTGAAGGAGTCAAAGGGAAGGTCGGCAAGTCCTGGTTCCTGTCTTCTCTCCCTTCGACCCCACACTCAGCCTGACTACAGTCAGTTATAAGTTCAGAAGCCATGCTAAGTCACAGGCTTCCCCTCAGCATCCTCATTCTGGCTGCAATAGTTCCCTGGGGCAGGAAGTGTCTGGCAGGCTCTAGGCTATCACATCTGCCCCTTCCTGTGCACTGCAGAGAACATCATCTGTGCACAGAGGAGAGAGAGACAGGGAGCGCACCTGTTCCTCAGACGGTCCAGATTCCCGCCTGGCGGGCACTCCCAGTGATGTAACGTGTCTGTGCCCCCGTGACACATGTCACAGTATGCCATTTTGCACAGAAGGAAACAGAGGACTGAACTAGCGAAGGAGCTAGACCCGGGACCCCATGATGCTTCAGTCCACTCTCACGCTGTTATCCACAGCGCTGTGGTGTTTGCTGGGCTGTGGGAAGGGATGCGGACAACTCAACAGGGAAAAAATCAGAAGAAAGCTGTCCGAGTGAGCAGATGTCAGAGTGGACAGGTCTACCGGGGAGAGACATGCCAATCCCGTGTGACCTGAGTCGCGGGCATGCTTTGTTAGGTTTCTGTCTGCTGTTAGAAAAGGGGGTTCCAGCGGTGAGGTGGTGACACACACACACATCCCACGGCACTCACTTGTGACCTTGTATTCCATCTGCTAGTCCCTTTCTGGTGTATAGACGCATTCAGCAGGAGGCGAGGACCCAGGATGGAGTCACTCCCCTGCGGGATTAGACCCCATCTCCCAGCAGTGTGTTGGCATTCCCATTTGTCCTCTAATTCCTCCTATGTGGATAGAATTGTGTCTTTCTTGGGTTCGGTGCTGTTGGTGACCCAGATTCCAGGCCCTCAGTGGGTTGATGACTGACTTGTAACGTTTTAAACAGATCTTTCCTCTTCAGATTTTTCCCTACAGCCCACTCCAATTCTTTCTGCCCTGTCTGGCCAG